CCACCACCTGACCATCAAGACTGCCTTTCTGGTGGCTATCACTTCTGCACGCAGGATGTCCGAACTGGCGGCTCTCTCAGTCAGGGAGGACTTGTGCGTGATCCACACTGACATGGTTATATTGAGATGCGATCCTTCATTTACCCCTAAAATTAACTCTCTGTTCCATAGATCTCAAGAGATTATATTGCCTAACTTTTGTCCTAAACCTTCTCACCCTAGAGAGCGTGAATGGCATAAGTTGGACGTGAGGCGTGCCGTCCGCATTTATGTAAAAAGGACTAAGGAATTCTGTCGTTCAGAGGCGCTCTTCATCTCTTTCCTTCCTGGGTCTCTTGGCCGCAAGGTCTCATCTCACACCGTAGGTCGTTGGCTGCGCGCTTGCATTAAGCTGGCGTATGAGCATCAGGGCAAGATGGCCCCATGCAAGATCACCGCACACTCTACTAGAAGTGCAGCAGCGTCAGCAGCCTGGGTGACCCAGGCATCTATTCTGGACACGCTTGTACTCTCCAAGCAGCGCACTGGAGAAAGACCGTTGGCTTACCTGAACGGTCGTTCTCAGGGCGCTGCAAGGAGAGTCCAAACCCACCCGGGGGTGGGGGGTTCTTACAATCTGTGACTACATTATTGACTGTGAACTCTTACCTTATATTTGTCCTTTCGTTTTTAAACTGAACATGGAAAGGCAAAGGGAGGCGTGGTCAAGAAAAACTACTCAGTCCAAGGGCGGATAGGCTATGTTAACCCCTCGCTTGGACTCTCCTCGCAGCGCCCTGAGAACGACCGTTCAGGTAAGCCAACGGTCTTTCCGATTCTTATTCCATGGTCAACAGCACATGAGGTAATTTAATGAGTCAATTCTTAAAACTGAACATGTATTCTAGTATTGCTGGTGAAAGTAATACATATTTCTGAACAAATCACAGTTCTATTTTGGTATTTGGGTAAAAATGTAAAGCAAGATTAATACCAATTCTATGAACTCTTTAATAGCAGGAAGTAATTATGAAAGAAAGAAATGTAAATCTATTTTTATTAAAGATGTTCAGAGCTATTAGTTTTCATAATGTGTACATTCTTTAAAAGCCTAGGCTGTTTCCTAGTTTAAGTGGTAGAATAATTATTCAGAGTTCCCCCAAAATCAATTGGAAAGCAAGATTTTAACAAGTTCTATAGTTAACAAATTGATATTCTTAGATTAAACTGGATTCCCAGTTTATGAATATTTAAAACTATGATTTCCATTTACATAATGAAAGTAGCTGAGATACATACTGGATGCTTAATTTAGAGCAGTGATTGTCAAGTTTTCATGTGTTTTCTATTTTTTTTTTCTAGAAATATTAACAAAAAACCATTCTGTGGATTTAGTAATAACATTTTATGGGTGACATCTCTCTTCAGTGACTTTTTTGTTTGTGCATTTTGCTTTGCTTTGTTTTGTTGTTAACTTTGAAATGCTTTCATGCTACTCATGAAGAAATGCTACTCCTGTCATTAAGTTTGTAAGTAAAATTATTTTTTCCTTAGAGGAGTGGATTATTCTGAATTCTAAAAACAATGCCTAAGCTGAACATTTTGTTGGTAGAGAGAAAAATGAGGGAAATCAGTTTTAGAATTATTTCAAGAACTCAATGCCAGTTGTCATACGCATGAAGAAATTATCATGTGAATATGTCTATGGAGATTCTTAGTCAGGCAGGTCATGGTTTTCCCAAAGGCTTTTTTCAAAAGACAACTGGACTTCTTCAGTTCTGAAGCTTCTTGGATGAAAAGAACTGTGTTCAAGGAAAAAAACAGTCCAGTTGCTTTTGAAAAAAGCATCTTTTGGATTATCATGTAAACATTTCAATATCAAAGCAAGTATTTGCTTGTACAGTGCAAAGTAATCACTTCAAGTAACTTACTGAGAAAAAGTTTCAGAATTCATAGAAATCCTCGGCTTGGTCAAACATTCCAATTTTGGTACGCTTTCAGTAAACAAACATTACTGTTGTACAAATTAAACTTAAAATGTTTTATTATATCTAAGTTTTAATTAGGTTTGGCTAAAATCAGAAATCCCTATAGTCAGAACCTTAACAGCTACAAGATTTCTTGGATTATGTTGTCCAAGATCAGTGGTAAGGCTCTGAAGGTTCAATATCAGATTTTTCCTCAAAGCTTTGCAACAGCTCTTATGTGAATTGCTTTAATATTCAAAAGATCTTATAAGAGGCATAGTATGGGTTATACAATGAGCAGAATGGAAAGAAATGACACCTGTTTGATCAAGTACTTCTCTTATCTTTTGCCATATCCCTGATGCAGGGGGAAAATTGGATCAAGTATAATAATTCATTTGTAAAATAAGAAAAACACTGGAAAGAATGCTGACCCCAGACTTCCAGTCTCTCACCGATAGGACATCTGGATAGTGAAGCACTCCAGATAGATCATAGAATTGTTATTTAAAAGCTGTGTATACATTTCAGAATTTTACTATAGTGCATGTTCCTGCTGTTAACATTTTTTTCTATATATCTTCCATCAGCCATATAATCCATATGATTTAGGCAGAACTATTTAAAATTCAGGAAATAATGTGAAGTTTTAGAATTTGTAAACTTTGGAACACTGTTATAATTGTATTAAGATGCACTTCTTACTGAATTACTGTTATGTACCGGTAATCAGCTTGTTGATTCTAAAACCCATATTCATGGATGGTAAGCCAAAGTTTTATTTGTGTAAATAGGTAGTTAGATGCAGAATAAATTTAAATTCTATGATTTAGCAGTTGTTTGAAAATGTGCCAAAACTAATTCTTTGTAAATAGCAGAGTTCACAAACCGAGGGTAGGAATCTCTGAGCATCAACATATAAACTTGGAATTGTGCTTCATCAAAAGTATGTATCGATGGTTCCATTATGTTCCGGTTAATAATTCCTCTTGCTCTGGAGTCCAGACTGACCTGTTAATAAATAAATTTATTAAACTGTTCAATAATATCTTTCCTCAGTTCTGTTGCTAACAATGGAGACAATTTTATAGTTTCACATTGGATCTGAAAATTGTGTAGACCTTTTTTTTGAATAACTATTATCACTAAAACATTTGACAATGTTTTACTTTCATCTAGTCTTTATTATAAAATCCACAACTTTTGTTTTTGCTTGAAGAAAGACAAACAAAAAGTTTTCTTCCAATGGTTAGTATTTGAAGGATATTTAGGATGGATTTAATACAGATGTGGATATTTTGGAATCCATTATACTAAGGCATCTAAATCTCCATCAGAGATTAACACAATTTTCCATCACAAATCAAATATTACATTCAAAGAGCTTTAACAAATGCAGTCCCTTCATGAAGTACACATACTTGTTTTTTAAAAACTTTGTATTAAAATCTATTTTATGAATTTACAAAGTGGTAATTGATTAATGGAATATTACACAACAAATATTTATCAATACCTAAAAGGTATTCTAAGACATTGTATAATTGTAACAAGGTTAGATTTTAATAAATCTGTCCATATATAAGTGTACTATGTTGCTGGACTTCATTAGCAATGGGGAAAGAATGAAAAATTAAATTTTTTGAAACATCCTATGAGATTGAGCCATGTTAGTCTTCTAGAAAGATAAGTTAAAATTTTATAACTGTCTCCTACTTATGCACTTATCCCTATCATCCTCAGTGGTATGCTTAAAGATAATTTATTCTTTTCTATTAGAACAAATATATTCTAAGTTTTAACATTTTAGTATTGTAGTTTTTAGCCCAAGAAGACCATCCCTGCAAATCACCTCACAAGAATAAATGTTTAAATGTTATAAAATAAATCACTTAAAACTATCAAACTTTAAAAATCTTAAAAATCGTGTAATAGTCTTAATCTTTAAAATATGCCATCTGAACAAGGACAGCTTGGACAGCTTAGTTCATTATATTTCTTTGGTTGATTCCATTTAAAACCAAGGGTATTACAAAATGGAACAAACCTCTCTCGGAGAAAGAATGGAAACATAATCCTCATATATTCGCCTGACTTTTTCATCAATTACATTCTTGCTGGTTTCCTGTTTTAAGTCCTCACAGGCCAGCCAGAAAAGCATGTTTTCTTCACTGTATTCTGACCGAAGGAATTCTCTGAAAGCATTTCGACCTGAAGGTGTTGCCATCAGTTTGTCAAAGGAATGCCTCCAAGCACTTGCTTCTTCCAAAGATGGTGTTGAGCTATAAATAAATTAAAAATAATAAACATGGTTACCACAGTATGGGAGGAAAATGTGGAATTTAGGAGGTTTTATGCATCGATAAATCTGAAATTCGAAGCAATTTACAACAGTTAAAAAATGCAAAAAACACACAAGGTGATGAATGATAACTATTAATACTCTGTCAATAAAATACTGTCAGTATTTTTTCTATCTCTTATCTTATTGTAGTATGTTTAGTACTGAACTGACCAGTACAATTATCTACCATAAACTCAAGTATAACCAGTACTTTCCTGTTCTTTCTTATATGCTATTCTGTAGCTGCAGTATTAAGGAACAAAAGCAACAGAGAGGAAGTTTTTTCATGTTTTCATAAAGTAAAGTGTTAAAATGGAAAAACAAATTCTTGCATTAATTTTTCATATATTTTCATAGCACATTTTAACGAGATTCAGTTTATAGGTGAGTGTATTGCATGACAGTGATCTCATGATAACCAAAATATGTTAAACTGGTATGAGAATGGTAATAACTTTATCCAATGTGATATCATCTAAATATGTAGAACTACAACTTCTATCACTCCCAAAATGCATGATCTTGCTATCTAAGAAATACGAGTGCTTTAAATGCAGTACAATGACTTTAACAGTTAATCCATACCCTTGTTCAATGTATGGAACCATTTCTGATCCAATTTCAGGTGCTGATGCCCTTGTACTTTCATCTTGATTCCTAACAGTAAGACTGTAATAAAACAAGAGTTTGGTGAAACTGAAATAAACAATTTGTTGAGATTTTTAAATTTACCATTAGGGTTGATACCTAAATATAGGTTACAATCTAATTCCCCCAGTATAAGAATTCCACTAAGATACCATTTAATTTCTCCTAAACATGATGTGTTGAATGATAAGGCATCTCATTTTTAATCTCTTAGAAAAATATTGGTTCATATACTATTTTGGCTGTCTGTGCTTTAGTTTAAAAATATGGGGCAGAAGAGAAAATATTTTTAGCAAATGTGATTTCTGTAGTATGAAAGACAGCAAGAATGGTAAAATATTACTCTGAGAGATTTATCTGAAAACAAATTAGCACTTTAATGTTCAGATGTCCAACCACTCAAGGTCATTAATGCACATTCTCTTGTTGTCATTTGTTCTTACGTCAAGAAGGACCCTTTTTTATAATTTTATCAGAATCTTTCATATGCTTCCTAGTTTGAACTCATGTAAATCTACAGAGAAGCTTTTGCATTGGAAAGAACTGTTCTACCTTGCTTTGGAAGAAATGTTATATTTGCTTTAGAATTGGGTAAATTTTCAATGGGATATACTCTGTGGTAAGTGTTACCCAATTGCAGTCTTGGCTGTCTATTTCTTCCTATCTTGCAATACCAGGTCATGTACTGTAAATACACAGTATCTTTATAGTATTAATTTCCTTTTCTCTACAATACTTTTTTTTTTGCAGTCTCTGACACCTTGTTCTCAAAGTTCAGGATAGAAAGAGTTGCAATGTCAAAAATCTCTAATTGGACTATTATATTTTTTTAAAAATGGGGAGAAATCTGATTTTGCTGGGAGAAATAATCTTAATCGGGTGTGATGGCTCAGCAGTTTAAGATACTGAGTTTATCAAATGGAAAGCTGACAACTTGGGTTCAAGATCTGAGCACCAAGCAACATGGTAAGCTGCTGTTCCTGCCTCAGTTCCTGCCCACCCAGGAATTTGAAAGCATGCAAATGTGAGTAGATTAATAGGTACCACTTTGGTGGGAAGGTAGCTGTTCCATGCATCTATGGTATATAGCAATGCTGGCCACAAATCTTCAGAGAACACTGGCTTGGAGATAGGATCAGACATGACTGGACAGGGAAACCTTTACCTTTAATGATCTTAATATCTTTAGTTTTTCAAAGTTGTAATGGATTTAAGTCAAGAAAATAGCATGTGATGCTGGGCATGTCTTTCAATGTTGATCCATTCAGATTCCTTTCTCTTTTTTTCTTTCAAATAATTCAATTAGGAAATTCAAAGCAGTCATGTTGCAAGTGAGAATCTAATGGGTATTTTATACACTTAATCGTTGGATAAAGGTTGTTTTCCTATAATATAACCTTAGTTATGACGCTTACTTCAAATGTAACCTGATGGATATCATCTGAGACACTCTTGAATCCATCCACAAATACAGATGAATGGAATAAAAAATGTAGAAACATTTTCTTGAGAATTTAAAGGACCACAAAAATCAATAAATACCTAAATTGAAAAGGCATTCCACCAGTCAAGGAAGGGCTGTTATGGAGGAAAAAAATAGAAAATAAGAAAGCACCAGAGCAGGGCAGATAATAGACTTAGGAGCAATTACTGGAGTGGTTGGCCAAGTTTTTTTTTTAAAGCAAGATAGTTCTAAGAGATGGCACAGATGAATCTGGAGAAGCAGTAATGAGACAGGTTGTCTCAGTACGTGTGTCTAGAAAGCAGGCTAGATTGTTTAATTGTAGAATACATTTTGGGTTGCTTCAACAGTTTAGTTTAAAGTTTAATAACATTTGTATGCCGCCCAATCCCGTAGGACTCCGGGCGGCTAACAATACAAATAAATGAAAAAGAAGAGAAGAAAAGAAAAGATAGATTTAAAAACACACCATGCACTCCGTTCTAACTGGGGCTGGACCGTATTTTGGGGACAACAGCCCCAGGCCTGCCGGAACAGCTAGGTTTTAGTGGCTTTATGGAAGGCCGAGAGAGTGGGAAGGGTCCAGATCTCTGCGGGAAGATCATTCCACAGGGCCGGGGCAGCTACAGAGAAAGACCTCCCCCGAGTAGTCGCCAACCGCCATTGCCCGGTCGACGGTATCCGAAGGAGGCCCAATCTGTGAGATCTTATAGGTTGTTGGGAGGTATGTGGCAGGAGGCGGTCCCGTAGGTATCCAGGTCCCAAGCCATGTAGGGCTTTAAAGGTAACAACCAGCACCTTGAATCGCATTCGGAGACTGATGGGAAGCCAGTGCAGCTCGCGGAGGATAGGTGTGACATGGGTGTACCTAGGTACACTCGATATTGCTCGCGCGGCCGCATTCTGGACCAATTGTAGTCTCCGAACACTTCAGGGGCAGCCCCAAGTAAAGCGCATTACAGTAATCAAGCCTAGAAGTGTCGAGAGCATGAGTGACCATTTGAAATGCCTCCCGGTAGGGCCGCAACTGGTGCACCAGGCGAACCTGGGCAAAAGCCCCCCTGGTCACAGTGGGGGAGTAGTTTCAGAAAATCAAGCCTCAGTAGGAAGGGATCTGACCATGACAAGGGCAAAGTCTTTATGCCCTTTAATTCCAGATCACATCTCCACTGCCCCGAGAGAAACACAAGGTCAAGAGTGTGTCCCGCTGTATGAGTTGAACCTTGAATTACCTGGCTCAAGTCCATGGTTGTCATGGAAGCCATGAACTCCTGCGCCCCAGTGAGATGGGCAGCATATAAATTTAATAAATAGTAAATAATTTAATGGAAGACTTCCCCCAAGAGATGGGAGTTAAGCTCTTTTGTGGGGATCTACATGCGTATGTTATCTACCTACCCAGTGAATGTGTTTTGGAATGGTAAAGGAGAACAAACATCATTAGATGTTACCTCTTCCTTGTTTGCTTTTGTTTTGAGTGCACTTATCTGTATTGGGATTTTCAAATACTATTATTTGCCCCATTTATATCTCTCTTTCCATTCAAGAGCTCAAAGCAGCATAGACAGCATTTCCTCTTACATTTTTTCTTCAAGAACAGCATAAGGTGAATAGGTGGGGGTAAAATTTAGTAACTGGCCCCAAATCACTCTGTAAACCTCCATAACTGAAAGAGGACTTGAAGTAGATTTTCATATCTTGGTTGAAACATACCATGCATCTTCCATTTTTCCTAGAAGGTCAATATGACATTGAAAAATTCCTTACTGCCTGCCACATTTATCTCCAAGATAAGTTTTTCCTAGCTATATTTAATTGTGCTTTATCATGAACTATATCATTAAATGTACATTCAGCTTTTTAAAAACATGGTGTGTACACACACACATACACACACAAAACCATATTTAAAGGTGGAATGCAAATGAATTTAGTAAATTTCTATAGCAAGATTATCTGGATTAACAATGATTGAGAATAACTCAGCCTAAAATCCCTGACAAAACTATATGAGAAGACATTATTCTTTTTCCAGATAAATAAAATTGTCATGCCCCACAGGCCAATGGGTGTGCTGTTTGAGCATTGATATTTCTTACCTGGAAGATTTATTATATTTGTAAGCTTTTTTATAATTTCATATTAAAAGTATTATTGATGCTAAATTGTTGTTGAAATGAGGCCTCACAAAAGTTTAATTGGTTGTCTCTTCTCAGTTTCTTTCTGCTTCAAATATTGATGATTTTATACTTAAGGTTACTATTTTTATTACTATTCATTTTTTCTTTCCAATTCAGATTATTGGAAGAAATGTTTTTTTGTAAACTTGGGATATAAATAGAACATTATTTTGTAGCTAGTTTCACATCTTTCTTTGTTCCCAAAATAGTTATTCCAAAGAAATAAACCATGTTGTGAGATTATTCTAGTTTTGGTCAGATTCTAGGCCATTAAAAGTGGTAGAACTTTTTTTTGGCATCACACTTAATTGATGATTTACAAAGAATTTTTAATACTTAACTGAGAAATTGTTTCCATAATTGTAACTGTATATCTATTTTAAAACTAGTATAAACTAGAATAATGATGTATATGAAATAAAAATGAGTTTTATTATGCAGAAATTTGTTATGTAGAATTTTATCTACTATGGATCAAATATTTCAAGATCTTTTGAATTGCTTCTGTACTGAAGAACTATCATTCATGATATAACAGCTACATATGGCCATCAATTAAATGCATAGTGGCACAGTGGTTATAATACAATATTGCAGACTAATTCTGTTGACTGCCAACTAAACCTAACCTTAACCCTATACACATTGCATAGACATTTATATTTATCCCAATAATTGGAGGGATGAAAGGCTAGGCTTCCAATTCTCTCACTTCCTGAGTTCAGTAGCTTAAAGAAAATAAAGCAAAAACAAAGTGGAGTACTAAGCAGTGCAATTCACATTTTATTAATAATCTGATTTAACCCTGAATCAGATTATTGGTCCATTTGGCTATTTAAACCATTTCCAACTTTATACATATAGAGTGTATTTGTCAATGAAATTATCCTGTTTGTAAAATTAAATGGGAAACACATAATGTGTGAATAGCATCAATCTTGCATCTTTGTGCAACTCCGCAAACAGCATGATTTTGTTTTCATCTCCACACAGTTATTGCCTAGCTTACTCTAGGTATCTTCCTTTCCTGCTTATCTGATTACCCAAGAGACATATGTCTATGTTCCTATGGAAACTAGCTGTCCTCTTCTCTCTGGCTGAATTGAATATATTTTAAACACATACCAGGAGCAACTGCAACAGCAGCACCAGCAGAAGCAGCAGGGATTAGAGCCTTGAGTCTCTATCCCAGATTGGGCAAGTAGAGAGCTTGGTATCTCCTGAGATGCAGAGGTCTGCCTTTTGCGCATTTCTACCTGCTCTGATCCCATAAGCTGCAAAATAAGAATATTAAGAAATAGATTAAACATGACAGAAAAAGCTGTATGCTGGGTTGTTGATAGCTGCCATGTGGCAATGGCAACCAATGTTTTTTTTTCTAACTGCTGTTCAAAATTCAAACAGATCTATGTCTTAACAAATGGAACACTATAGGCTTCCTCATGTCCCTGACAGCTGCTTTGTTGTTCAGCAAAAATCCTGTGAATGAGACAGGAACAGGGCTTGTTGAATCTGAAAAGCATATTTTCAGGATTGACAAGAAGATTAACCTAGTCATTATTTCCAAAAGTTCTTTGGCTTGCATAACAAATGAAAGCTATAATAAAGCAGATGGTATATTGTTCCATACTGCTTTATTCCAGCTTACTTTTGTTCCTAAATTATACCAAAACTGATCTTGCATTCCTATTTAGGAAAGACAGGTTCAAAATACTATACTTCATTCCAGAAATACAAAACCTATTCAATGCTTTAAGAATTCACGTTATTGGTTTTTCCATTTTAGAATGCTTTTTCCTCCCTGTGCTTTTTCACATCCTTGAAATATATTGAAAAAGAAGGCATCATGTAAATGCCCTGGCTTTTTTGTAGAAGTAAACAGATAACACTTTCTGTCACTTGTAATCATGTTTTCTGACTAGGAAAAAACCATTGAGGAGGGAAAAACAGAAATAACTACACAGCACCCTTATATTCTACAGCTCTAGGAGCCATACATCTGGTACACCTAACAGCAAAGGTGATATTTTTAATAATGGCCAACAGCAATAAGAAATGTAATAACATGCATCAGAAACCCAAATATGGGTTATCCGTTTTGGCTGAAAGAATGAATATTTGTTCTGATCTAGGCTTCCCCAGCAGTATGAAGCCAAGTCTTCGTCCCAATAAACCCCTTTTATTTAATTTATAGTGAATTCCTCTCCAGTAAAGTCCCTGCCCACAGTATTTCAAGATAGTTCACAATTACTGACCTTTATCAGGCTTGGAGAGTGACCAGGCCGATATCTTTTAGACACCGCAATACTTGGCAAGAATGCAGGAATGAACTAATTGTCTCCTGCAAACATCCCTCTCCTTTCGCTCCTCCTTTATTCCCTATGGGCGGGGGCATTCACCATCCACCTGTGGCCTTACTCCCAAGTTGACCTTTGTTCCTTAGCCGTTCCCTTTGTCTGGCAACTCTGGCATGCGCATGCTCCAGCTGTTCGGTTGCCTCAGTGATGTCTGACTTCAAAAGCAGCTAATAACTGTCAGATGGCCCTGATCCCATCTCTGCCTCCAATGCAGAGCACTCATCAGAGCTTACCCCAGACTCCAGGAATGACCCATGTTCGTCCCAAACCACCTTACTGTCCAAATCTGCCAGCTCCGCTGGCTACTGGCAGGCCACAACAATATAAGCTTTAGAATCTGCCATGTTCATTTATGCATTCATTCCTACTAAGTTGCAATATTTTCACTATGGAGCAAAATTCAGATGTCTGCAATGTCCACCTGATAATTTATGATGTGCATAATAAATTACAAGAAATGTCCAAAAGAAAATCAAGCTATCTCATAGTATACCATGTTGTATTATTATCTTTTTTGTTGCTTAAGTTCCCCAATATTGACTGGTCAAATGATTGAGTCTCAAGATTCCTTGCTTTGAATTTGGTATATAACAAAGGACGAGATCTTGATATTAAAAGGCAAGAGGAAATCAATATGCAACTTTAACCTTTTTGCAAGTTTCTGGTGACAGGGTGTCAGGAGGAGTCCGATGGCCCTTTTCCCAACTAACACATTTTATTAAAAAGCATAGCCTTATAATAAAATTTGCTAGTCACAGAAGGTGGTTTCAGATTCATGATTTTTTGTCAATAGAGCCTAACTCAATTATGTGACAGAATACCAAATGTTGAGTAGACAATGGAAAGTATTTTTATTTCATTGTACCCTGTGTGCTACTAATAGGAAAGCCAAAGAAAGTCTGAATAGTAGACATAACAATACCTGGAGAAAGCAGAAGAGAAAGAACTCGAGAAAATAAAAAATATATAAAGACTTGCAAATAGAAGTAAACAACTGTGGCAGTTGGGAGCCTAGTAATAGGCTCCTTGGGTACAATTCCAAAACCTTTGAGACACAACTTAAACACCGTCAGCATTCACAAAATCACTTTACTTGGAACAGTTTACATCCTGCAACGGTACCTTTAATATTATTAAAAATAATGTCTGGCTATCCAAGGTCCTTGAAAAAGATTCAATAGGTGGACAGATGTGCTAAATACAGTCTAAAATGTGGCTGCTGGGCAACCAACTACAGCAATGATAAAACAATGTCACAAACTGGCCATTATGGTTATTGATATTGCGTGCCATATCAAAAAATCTTGGACAGTCTTTAGAAAATCTGAGTATTAACAAAATTTTCATCTGTCAGTTACAAATGCCATCCTGATTGAATCTGCACATATAAGACTAATACATTATAACACTGTAGGTTCTCCGGAAGAACTTGATATGTACAAAGGCCAACACCTGCTAAAGAATTGTAAGCTGTAATTTCACAATATTGTGTATACAATTCCTATTTTTATTTCTCCTTGTATTTAATATATAGATAAAACAATAAAAGTCATGAGACTTTAAAAAAGCTAATCTAGCCACAAATGTGTTTATGTATTATATGCAAGCATATGTTGACTTTTTAAAGCACACACTGGTCTAAGTTTAAGTATTTCTGAGAGTCCTTTTTTAATAAAAAAAAACATTTTTCTGCATCTTAGGATCAAAAGGATCATCTTCAAAGGAGCTTAGAAAATAATTTTCCCAAACACTCATTTTCCCCAATCCAAATAATCCTTCTCTCCTAAGCAGATAGCTATGTAGAACATTAAAACAGCACTAGCACTGAAAATTAGAATTATTCAGTTACTAGAAGCAGTCTAAAATCTTCTAAGCCTTTATGAGATGTTTAAAAAGAACCTTTCTGAACTGTAATTTCATGCAGACATTACTATCACTTATCCATCCCACAGAACCCCCCTTTTTTAAAGTCTTTGCCCACAACAGCCATCATCTCAGCCAGCTTGCAAAGCTGAGAAATGGAGAGGAAGTAAGCTGATTTTGTTAAAGAAGAAAGGCTCCATCTCTTCAAGAAGAGGGTAAGTCCTATGGGGATTTATGAAATCAACCAGCCAGGACCCTCTTTTTTATTTTGGCGGAGTTATGCATATGTTGATGGGCTCATCCTATCTACCGGGGAAAAATATTTATTCTATTTTATTATCCTTCGTTGAAGCTAGTTTCAAAATTATTTTAGGCTTTTAGGCCGGCAATAGAAAGCTTGCTAACTTTTTGAATTACTTGTAGCATCCTTCCTGCTCTTCTCGCTAGTTCGAAATTGCGCCCTCTGGCGTTAACCTGCGAAAGATTTGGCTGACTGAAGGCGCGTGTTATACTTTCCATTCGTTTACTTTTTTGCCTCTTTAAAAATAGTATATGGTCCCCATTTGTTTTTAAAAAAGGATTGCTGTAATTGTCACCAATGAAAAAACGAATTAAGTACCATACACCGAGATTCAGCGGGAACAGAGCTCACTGACAAGCAGAAATCAAGACTTCTCTTAGTTTTGAAAGCAAAATTTCTTACATGGCTAAGCACGCGGATTCTTCCCTAATGGCGTGTCTGCTAGACCTAATCTATTGCCGCAGGGTTTTTTGGCTTGGAAGACAAGAACAAGAGCAACATATTCTCATCCACCTATCAACCTTCTTCAGATATTTCTTATGTACAAATACAACCCCCACCCCGTTCATATTGTACAATTCTTTTCCAACCTATGCTCGCTCTTCCTCCGTTCCGACTGAAACATATGAAGTTTTTTGATGCGGACCTTGCTTGGCATTTTTTCCAGATTAACGTCCTTTTGGAATTGGCAATGTCATCTGCTAAATTCTCCTCTGCCCCCTTGCCCTCTCCAAGTTTCCTAAGAAAACCAGAACAATCGCAAACGTTAACCTGACAAAACTACTTCCCCTGCTTTCCCCAGCTTTCTAAGGAGAGAGACCTTCTGACTGAACACGCTGTTCTTTCTTCCCGCGTGGCTTGTCGCATCCAATGGGTTTCTTTCTGAGTCTCATCAAGAACTGTGACATTGAATCTAGGAGTGGAAGCCTTTGCATTCCCAACTGGAAAACTCAGACTCATACGTTGTGTCCCAGCGTATTTTCACGCCAAGAGCAAAGGCGTGAAGGCCATTCCGACAGGTTTCCTCAACCCGTTCTACGGTGGTGCTTGAAGTACTTACAGCTTTCCCTTCGATCTCCGAAGCCAGGTGGGAATCCTTGCCTTGCTCACCTCGGACGGCACTATCACTGGCACACTCGCGACGGATTTATTCCCCGGTTCTTCCCGCTCAAAACTCTGCCCGCTCAAAACCCTGCCCCGTTTTTTTCCCCAGTTACCAAACTTCTCGAGTCCTTTCCCGTATTCTGTATTTTTGCTGCCCGAAAGCGAAAAGGTTGGCTAGAAACGTGGCGAATTGAAGGCTTTGGGAACTCGAGAGACCGCCCTTTACGGAGGAAGCGTCACTTGCTGCCTTTCCGTGGTTCAGTACCACGGACAGTTCCCGAAAAGTCGATCAATTGAACTGGCGATTGGCTCGCTCTCCCCTCCCTCCCCCCTCCAATGCCCGATCCTATGAATCACTTCGGCTGGTGGAAACACCCCGCAGGCACGTGAGTGTATAAATGCTAGCTGGGTTAGTTGACATGTGAAGCAATAAACATCTGCTACAACACAGAGTGGGAAAACAAGCCTGAAGAAAGGGGCGGGAGAGGGAGCGATGGTTTCCTGCTTAGGTGTCCCTCTGGGAAAATTAGTACAGGAATAAACAAGAGTGTTTATCGGAAGAAAAAAAAAGACAGAGTGGCCTTCACTAACCCGATGCCCTCACAATGTGCTGAGCTACCACCCCTTTGCTTTCTGCCAAGACCTGGCCGATGGTATTGGTAGTCCAAAACATCCGGGCGGCTCTGGATAGGTCTGATAGAGCAGTGTTTTTCAACCACTGTGCCGCGGCACACTAGTGTGCCGTGACATAGTGTAAGGTGTGCCGTGGGAAAAACACTTTATATATAGTCAATATAGGCACAGAGTTAAAAAAATTTAACATTTTCTAATGGTGGTGTGTCTCGTGATTTTTTTTCATGAAAAAAGTGTGCCTTTGCACAAAAAAGGTTGAAAAACACTGTGATAGAGGTCCGCCGTCCTCTAACAACTCGGTCTCATTCAGTTGCAACGGGGACGCTGGTTAAAGAAGCGATTTGTGTCATTTCGAGGACGTTTTTCCTTCCTATACCTCAGCGCTGAAAAGAAAGAATGGCACACCGCCTCAGAATTTAAAGCGTTTGTGGAAGGAGAAAATTGGTTTTCCCACCCGATCAATTGAGGCGAATCAATCGAAGTGCCTAAAGCAAAGTCTTTCCTTAGATTTCCCAGCGGGGAAGCGGTGAGCTATAAAACTTCTTGATAACTTCTGCCTCCTCCTTTTCTGTTTCACACGGCCACTCCATGCCCCTTCTGGAGAAGGTAGTGGAGCAACTTCCTCTCCCAGACAGTGAAATTGATCAGATACAGAAATAACCTTGGCCTCACTTCCTTCTGCTTCTCAGGAGCTCAATTCAGGATCCCCTGGTTACCTGGAAAACAAAGAGTCTTCACATTCAGCAGATGTGAGTCAGACTGCTGTCTTAATTGCAGAATTTGGAGAGAGCCCCCATCCATTCCCAGTTCTCTCCCCTAACACCAATCCTACTAAATTGCTGAAACTGAGAGCTTCCTAAGTGCACAAATAGAGTTTTCTAGCTCAGGCAGGACTAATTTTTAAATGCTGTTCCCTTAGAACAATAGTTTGGCATCAGAAGGAATGATAGAAACTCTAAGAATGTGAAGAATGCCCCTCCTAAAACTCAAATGGGAAAAGCCCTTCTGGATCAGGGCTAGGCCCAGCCAGCCAGCTTTTCATTTCACTTGGTAGCTCATTGGCTGCATCTAGCAAGTCCACATTTCAGAGATCAACACAACCCTCCTCTCACAACGTTGCTTTCATGCATCTCCTATATAATGTAATATCTCTTGAATGTCGAATTCCAGGGTTGAAACACAACATAAGCAGGTTTTAACTAGTTTATGAAAGAGCCAGATGGTATGTCCTGTGAATAAGAGACCCTATCATTGAATCCAGATTATTAAACTTTAGGGAGTTTAATCAGTCCAGAAGAAGGTTTAACTAGTTTAATATATTTTAAAACTCTTGCAACTACACTGGGAATATGTGTAAAAATAAGCAAAAGCAGATATCTCCAACATTGGCAGCTGTCCACTGCAAATTTTAGTTTAGATTATTTTGCTCATGCAAGGAAGAAAAAGAAGGAAAAAAACACGAAGGAAGAAAAGAAGGGAGGGAGGGAAGGAAGAGTTTTCTATATCATTGTATTGTTTCATGTCCTGACAGTGCATGGGAGTGAGTAAATTATATACTGAAGAGGACTGCTGGATGAAGAGTACTGTGCAAGCATGGGCTATCATATATATCCCTTGAAAACTACAGTAAAAACAAAATAACACACTCAATTAGTACACTGTTTAGATGTAGCCATTTGGGAATATATTTTGTTGATAACATTCTTCCTCTACATTCGGACTTTTCATGGCCCTTGTTAGCAATAGGAAATGGATGCTGCTTTTTAAGATATTGTAGATACTGTTCCTCCAACTTATTCTTGCTGAAGAAATAGGCAACCTACAGTGACAGGTGTGAATGATAAAATTATATAAACAAAACTTGAGCTGTAATGGAATATTAATAGTGACACTTCTAATACTAACCCTATTGTCAATGTGGAGGAAATTACTGGAAACCATGAATGCTTATAAGATTTATAGAACAGATTAAACAATGTGACTATACTTGACTACAGTTCAGTTTATTGCTCTGAAATAGTCCAATGTACATGTCAGCATTTAGAAACATTTAAAATTCAGACCTTCCTTCCTTCATTCTCTCTATCCAAAAATATTTCCTTATTTGTTAATCAAGTGAGGAAGAATCACCTTTAAGAGGAGATAAGTAAAGAGAAACTAATCATTCCAGAAATTAGAAAATGATCATTAAAATGTTTTTGAAAGGTTAAAAAGTTTTATAAACTGAGCTTATATTCTATAGTAATAAAACAGCAAGAGATCATTTGCAGAAAACATTTGTAATGATCTTTTCTGCATAGAGATTGCCTAACAAGCAGGAGACCCAAAGAAACATGCTTTTAAATCAGGAGTGGGCTTAAAATATAGTGTATTATATTTTGTGTTTCTCTTAACCTATCTGTTTTGTTGTAGTATTGAGAATACTTTGCCTGAACACTTCTAATTTCTTTGGTTCTTATGGAGACACTTGATGCAAGAGTCTTATTATGGTAATCTAGCAAAAATACAAGTGATAAATTATTTAAACAAGAGCAGACCTACTACTATCTGCTCATTTACCTGCCCTATGTTTTGGGATTTGAAGCCAGAAGAAAGTAAAGATGTTATAGTATGAAGGAAGATAAGAAGCACTAGGGACATCTGCCCAGAAGCCCCCCAAAACCTAGAACTAGTAGTGATCATAATGGGCACTAGAACATCACTGCCAATATCTTGAACTTGAAAAACATATTTGCTCAAAGCAGCAGCAAATGTTGAGAGCTTTGAACTTTCTTTTCTCCTGTTCTTTGACTTTCAGGCTACAAACTAATATCAACGAACAAGTAATATGCTAAAGGTAGGAGAGCTAGTAAGAATAATTTATTATAACTTGGAAGGACCAGCCTGGAAAATTTAATGTAAGAGGAGAAATACCATATTGATTTAAACAATTCAATCAGGGCTTTTTCAAAGTTGTCCACTACATTACATGGGATGGGATGAAATTGGGAAAAATAGAACATCAGCAATAAGTGTTGAAAAGCTGTTAAAGTTTGCCACTCACATCTTAACTTCCTAAAAATATAGTTCCTGATTTTCCAGGCATATTTACCCATGGTTTTCCTAATTCAATCAATTTTCTGGGCTGGAGTAACACACTGAACAACAAACTAGCATACAGTTAACTTGGGCTCACATAATACGCTATGGTGAAATGTGTTTGGCTGGCTTGTGATTCAGTGTGTCACATAGGAAAATGAACCATTGAACTATAATATGGATTGTCTTCTTTTGCTCTAGTATGATATATGAATTCAGATATATTGTGAAATAAAATATAATCACATTAATAAACATTGGTTATCCAAATGTAACAATTCATCATGTATAGTGGTTTTATTATCATTTTATTACTAAATAAAAACTTCCAGCAGGTGTCACTATAAGCTCAAAGTTAAAAAAATATTGTTACAGTTGCTGAAAACTATATTTGTTTTAAAAGGATGTGTTGTCCAACTCTGTTTTCTGCATAAGATTCACTTAAAAACTGCCTTGCTTAGCAATGGAAATTCTGTCCCAGTTGTGTTTGTAATGAATTTTAAATGGTGTTCACTTAAGAAAATTAATATCGGATAATACAGCATTGATTTGCATGATCAGGTCGTAGTAGACATGTGTAGGCTATTGGTTCCTAAGGGCAGAAATACACAACATTGTTTTATATCTTCTCCCCAGCAAAGTGGTGGAAGAAATTGAAATTACAAAAGTGATTTTTTTTTAAAGCCTACTTCATTTCCACCAGTTTATGCATAACATTCAAGCAATTTAAGGCTGCAGGCTGGTGGTGGGATTCAATTTTTTTTATTACCGATTCTGTGGGTGTGGCTTGGTGGGTGTGGCATGGCTTGGTGGGTGTGGCTTGGTGGGCATAGCAGGGTAAGGATACTGTAAAATCTCCATTCCCACCCCATTCCCTCCTGATCAGCTGGGACTCGGGAGACAGAGAATAGATGGGGCCAGGGCCGGTCAGAGATGGCATTTACCAGTTTTCTGAACTACTCAAAATCTCCGCTACCGGTTCTCTAGAACTGGTCAGAACCTGCTGAATACCATCTCTACTGCAGGCAGAAAAGCTCGCAGTCCTTCTAAGATCAATAATATTTATTAATTATACATAGCTTGTCAATTAAGCAGATGGTCTTATGTTACTGGGAAAGTCATCCCATATAATGATAAATCCATTTGGATGGAGTCACATTATGTATGTGAGAAAGGACAGTCTTTTCAATGGCAGAAGGTATTTTTTTTAAATAATAATAAAATGATTTTTTAGGGTTTACTGTCACCTGTTTTCCATTTCACAGTGTAGGGAAGTTATATTATGTGTTTTTAGCAATCT